GCTCAATCATATTAAGTGGAATTTTGTTGAGAATTGTCAAAACTGGAAGATTATTGTGCATGCAAAATATATTTAGGGACATGTTCCTTTTGCACCTAATTGATTCATGTTGTAGCGTCCAACCAAGGACCCCCCCCCCCCCCACTCTGCTATATCTACAATTCAGGTCGACATCCTGGACCGCCGTGGCTCCATACTGTATAATTAACCCTCTGTCTTAATAAACCACCTTTTGGGCTAAGCAACTGTCTTTCCTCGGAAGAGACAGACTTGGTGTCTCCGAAGACAACTCTCAAACAAAGTACGAACTTTGCCATACTAACAAGAACTGTTGTTGCCGTGGTTACGAAGAAAGTAACTCACGGTTTTCAATGTGTGTCAGGAATCAAACTTGCATTTTGCTAAGAGAAATGGTGTTTATGTAAAACAAGGTGTTACCATTTTCAACAAACGTTATTGTGTTCCTCCTTTAAAGACTTTGAGAGGGAAGGGTATTATTAATTACATTGATTATGCAGTCGGTTCACACCCACTGTGATAGAACGCTGATTGGTTAAGATCGGGGGCACGGTCTCTCCTGGTGTCAGGTACTACAACAGAGTGATTGTTGTCAGAGAGTTGGTTGAAGCAGTCTCTTGGATAGAGCAGTCTCAGGATGGAAGAAGTTGTTCGAAGCTACCTAAAGTGTTGCACGTGAGTTGCAGAGAGTTGACTCCAAGCCAGTCAGCTGACAAATGGAGAAAGTCCTGGTAACTCTCAAACATCCCAAGAGTGATACCCGCAGAGCTGTATGAGACAGCCCTGTGGAAAACAACCCACCGGTAACAGCTTGGACCTCCGGCTTTCATTGTGGTAATGAGAAATGGACCTTCCTTGTAGGATAAAACGTCTCCCTTCTGATGAAACAACAAGTGCCAACTGAGTTTCCTTAGACATTATTTAAGTTCACGAATCTGAGATAAAGTTTACCTAAATGTTAACGTTAGAGCTGAAACTTTAGTCCAAATTGAATATACCTCTTCTCATGATCTTTATTTAAATCATTCACCTTTTGAAATAGCACTACTTGGTTATTCATTCAAGGCAGCACGGTGGCGCAACTGGTAGAGCTGCTGTCTCTCAGCGAGCAGGTCCCTGGTTCAAACCCCGGTCCAGGGGCCTTTCTGGGTGGAGTTTGCATGTTCTCTCCGTGCATGCGTGGGTTTTCTCCGGGTACTCTGGTTTCCTCCCACAGACCAAAAACATGCATGTTAGGCTGATTGGTAACTCTAAATTGTCCCTAGGTGTGAGTGAGAGAGTGAATGTTTGTTTGTCTCGTTTGTCTCTATGTGGCCCTGTGATGGACTTGCGACCCGTCCAGGGTGTACCCTGCCCCTCGCACAGTGATTGCTGGACATGGGTACCAGCGACCCCCGTGACCCAAAATGGAATAAACGGGTAAAGAAAATGGATGGATGGATGGATGGGTTATTCATTCATATTTCATATTTGCTGTAAGTACATATTGTCATTATTCACAAGCTGAAAATAAACGTTACAGAATTGTGTATTTAAATGACCAGATTCTTTGTCTCCTCTTCGAGTGAGGGGAATTAAAATATTGTTAAAGGTCTCACATTATTCTTTTGATTGAGGTTGGTCAACATTTATTACATAACGCTGAACAGTTAGAGTAAATACCTGTTAAAAGGTGCTCAGAGACCTCAAGCATTTGCTCTACATGTTGATATCAGTTTAAACTCTATTTGGTGCAACATGTAGACACGGTGCTTCATGTGATTATTATATCTTTGCATGAAAGCAGCTTGAGAATCTTCCTGCATCAACTGGTGGACTGTAAATGATGAGCAACAATGGAAACCATTTGATTCCTCCATCTTGCACAAATAGACTCTCACACCTCCATCTCTTCTTTTGGATTACCAAACACTGATCTTCACACTTTCCTCTCTACCACCCACACTGGGATAAGTCATCAGCTCCTCAGCACATGAATCCTGGTGTAATCAGAACAGTTCAATTGCTACGGAGGTCTTATTCCTAATCTTTTAATTCTGCAGCCAATCAGCTGCACAAACAAGTGTTTCCATCAGTCCCTGCAAGGAAAACTGGTGACACAGAGAAACTGCACACAGCAATCACAATAAACTCCTTTTCTTTTTATTCTCTTGTTTGGAAATTGCAGGGTCAATATTTTCACATTACTCGACATGATGCACCAAAATGTACTCTACCTGTTTACAGGAATACACTGAATAGAACACAAGGTTTCACAATGGATATACGACTGACGGTTTGCTCATTGCACTTACAACAGTGAATGACGTTTTTCAGATTTTTAGTTTCTTCCTACTGCTTGCCTTTATCGCCTCAGATCATATCCATCAAACTGAAGGCCTCTTGTCGGAGGCATTCGAGCTTTATTTGATTCGTTTTAGAAATATAATAAGTATAGAACCCCTACACACACTGAACGTTTCAGAGTACGAGTTTTGTTCCACTGTTGTAAAGAGTCAATACAAGTCAGCCACAAACACTATGCTTATGCAATAATATTCATAATCATCATCATTAGTTTCATCATCATCATTATCGTGGTAATAATAAATATTTTTATACACAAAAGTTGGCAGCAAATACGGCATGGGGATGAACATGACAGCCGTACTCAAAACTCAAAAGCTGTACAGAGAAATGAAGTCGTATTTACAGTAAAAGTTTGAAAATGTATCTGTCAGCCTTCCTGTTCGTCTGCATGGCTGCACTGAAGGCTGTTTTGGTCTCATGCACCTCATGACTTCACTGCACTGTTTGTTTCTGACGCAGATCTCACGCCGCTCGCTTTTACGCGACCTCTATCTCTGCGCTTCGTTGAGCAGCTAGCGCTACCAGTCAGGCGTTGTGCTTTCAAAAATGACATGCCCTGATTTGTGAATGACTGGTTGAACATCTTTAACTCGCTGATTTTCTCGTCGTTGGCCAGTGACGGTCGAGGTTTGTTAGGCAAACCTTTGTGGAAAAATCATGCCTTCCTTTTTAATTTTTTTTTTTATTATTTTGAAAGAAAATAATAAATTCTAGCACAACTTCAAAGAATGAAGGCTCTAATCATGCACCTTTCAAATGGCTTGGCTGCTGAGCAGGTTCGTTGACAATGAAATATCCAATATAAACATTCCATTCAGCCCACAGGTTATACCGACACCCAATATATACATTGACACGTATTTATGAGGAAGTGCTGACCATCTGCGTTACAGGTTTACAGCCGCACAGACAGTCACTGCAAGCCAAACACTGAGGAGCCCGGGGTCAGCCAAAATGCACAACAACTCAATGAGGGCTTACAAACAGCCAGACAAAGCCAAGCAAACCCATGCTTCGAAGCAACATGATGGTGGACATTCAAAACTGACAGTCTACACAGTTTACCCTTTGGCAACAAGTCCCCCTCCCCTCTAAGTGTGGGGAACGAGGGGTCAAAACATGCCACAAAAATAAAAACAATATTCAGTAATCAAATTCATACAGACAAGTTTCTAAGTAAAAACATTTTCAATTCCTTTTTTTTTTTTTTCAGGATTTTAGTTCATAAGTGTGTTGTTTTTCTTGCGATGATAATAAACTGATTCAGGCTAAATCGCTTCCAGGTTCAAAATGAGTCATTGCATAGAACATTTGACTTGATAATTGCTTTCTCCCTCTCCTGTATCTTGATGCATGCTTGTGTGTGAGTGTGTGTAGTCTGCACAAACAGAGGCAGTGGGCCCAGCTTGTTAGTGATTTGGTAACCTCATTAATCAGCAGGAGGTTAACAAGTCTGTTTGATGAGAACTTGACCTTGGCTCTGAAGTGGAATATGGATGCAAAGAGTGTACTGTGTGCAGTGCGTGTGTATTTGTAAGAGATCAATATATATATTTATGAAGTGTGTGAGATTGTGGACATACATGTCTGCATGCTGAATATACCATGCATGTCTGTACCTGTGATACTGTAGTTGTGAACCCTCTGACAGATTTCATTACTGCTGTTTGCCGACAGATGTGTTTGATATTTCCGTCACGAACTGAGACGACGTTTACACCTTTGTGCTAAATACCATTTGCTGCATGCTATTGCTTTTTAAAAATCAATAAGCAAAAATAGCCATAGCAATAAAACAGCGATTCAAACAAATATAAAGTGAAAATACAAAGATTTACCAACATAAAACACATAACCACATAAAAAGAAACCCGCTGGAGTGCGATTCATTAAATACACAAATGACAAATTTACATAGTAGATCTCTGATTTGTTGTATGTACATACAATATCATACAGTGTAAAAAGAAACTCAGGACGATATGGACGCTTTTTTACACAAGGTATACAAGTAAAAACAGCAAATAAGGCTCTTTCTTTCATTATCAGGCCAAAAAACAACAAAATGAAACAAAGAATAAAACAATTAAAAGAAGAGAGGGAGAAAAAAAGGATAAAGTCCCACAAGGCTCTGGAGATGAACATAATGATGGCTTTACGATGGCTAAAAAAAAGCCGTGGCCACTTTCATTTGGTCCTCTCGTCTGTGTGAATCTCACACTTATCGGCACACTGGCAGTAATTCCCTTCCCAAAAAAAACCAACCTACAACTAATAAGCAGCGGCATTTTATAGGTGATGAAAAAAAAACAGGATTGATATGGGCTTTTTTTTCCTCTTTTTCAATTGTGCGTGCATTCTCGTGTCCACATTTACACAATGCATTCTGTAGACAATGAAACAAAACGAACAATAAATAAAAACACATTCAAAAAAAGGGTTGAATTCCCTCTACTGGAATGTACTGTGGAGATCACAGAGACCAAGCAGTCAAGGATTTTAATAGAATCTCCAGGTTGGTTGTTGCTGTAATAAGCTTTGTCTGTTCCAGTTATATGGTGTTATTGTAGGCTAAGATCACTCGCTTTATTATAAGGAAAACCTATAGAATCCAGCCTGTTTCTTGTGGTGGGTTTTTTTTTTTTGCTTTGTTTTTTTTTTTTCGCTTGAAAACGCTCTGAAGACATCAATGTAGAATCAGGAAGCCTTGAGCAATGTGTACTCCTCAGACATGGGAGATGTTGCAGAAAAGTCTCTGTAGAGGGCGCTGTGACGCTTCCTTTACTGTGTTTCCGTGGATGAACCAACACGCTGCTTCTCCCATCATATCCAACTTCCTCTGTTAGCAGAATGTTGAATTGTTTCCCAAATCAGAGGAGGAGAAAAAGCAGACCATTCTTTTCCCTCTCCATTTCATCGCATTGTTAACGATGACCTGAAAAAAAAAAAAAAAAAAAAAACAGTGAAGACTTGCATGTTGGAGATAAATCAGTTACAGATAAACTGAACAAACAAACTAGTTGCTTTTTTTATATATATAGTAAACTGAATTTAAACATAAACGTATTCCCTTTAAAATTAATTCAATGTCATTTGGGGTCTGAAAAAAAGGGTTTTTTTGTTGCTCTAAACTGCTGCTGCCACATTTCTGCGGAGTCAAAATATCAGGTTTTTACCATTTTAGGTTCTCTCCATTGTGGCCCTGTAAAATACAGATCTTAAAATCGTGAATCTAATCTTCAAACCTCTTAATAACCAAGCTTGTTTTTTTTACATTAAAGCTCCTGTTGTTTTATATTTTCCTAAAAGAGTACTTCACTGTCAGACTGCAGGTTTGTGGTTCCTAGAGTTTCTAGAAGTAGAACATGAGGCAGAGGTTTCAGTTCTAATTTCTGTCTGTGAGGCGAATACTCTCTCTAATTTTAAGACTAGGCTTAAGATTTTCCTTTATGATAAATCCTAAAGTTAGGGTTGGCTTGGGTTTCCTGAGCTATCCCTTAGTTATGCTGCTATAGACTTAGATGATTTACATGTTTGTACGTGCAATTATTGCTTACAAACTTTATGTGTTCAGCTTGTCTTCCCATGGGAACTACACCTAGACCAATCCTTCTGTATCGGTGTCTCTTTCCTGTCCTTTATAAACCCAGCTGGTCAGGGCAGATGGCTACTTGTCCTGATTCTGGTTCTGCTGGAAGTTCTTCCTGTTAAAAGGAACTGGTTCCCTTTTAATGTTGCCAGTATGGTCAGGATAGTTCAACACAATCTGTTTTAGAAAAAAGAAAAAAAAAGTGTATGTATATATATATATATATATATATGTGTGTGTTATTTTTATTGTATAGTGCCTTTCGATGACGTTTGTTGTGAATTGATGTTTTATAGTTAAACTTATTTGAACTGAAGACATGAAAAGACAAGTCTTCTTCTGTGTTGCGTCACAACTCAGGAAGACAACCTCATCCTGCATGTTATGAAACTCCAGCTCTGTTGCCAGAAAGTTTAGTTTCACTTCATATTTATTTTCTGACTCCTCAGCCTGACCACAACTTCTAATTATTAAAAGTAGATAAAACCAATAAAAGTAAACAATTCACCAAATTAGTCTTGACTTGATGTAATTCCCTACCTTTTTTTTTTTTTTGACTAAAGAAAGAGTCCATCGTATAATGCTTTTTCTACACTTCTCTAGTTCTGCTCTGTTGAGCAGAAACAGTTTATTCTACCAGGCAATGGATGATGCCTACTATGTGTCATGATTCTGAGTGCCCCCAGGTGCTCTGTTTTAGCCCTATGTGTCTTAGCATGTGTGACATGTAAGTCCTGGTGAGGATTCTCAGGCTGATTTGAGCACACTGTTCTTGGCCCAGATTATTGCATGTTTGCTGAACCCCACATTTTTTATGCTTTGCCCTCTCACCACTTCAACACAAAATTCAAGCTAGCTCTGACGTTCCACACACCGCCTGAGAAAACAGCAATCTAATAACTCAACTTATAAACACACACACAGAACCAGGGTGAACAAAAACAAAACTAGACTTAGCTATCGATCAGTACCTGCATACAAGCATGTGCCCTTAGAGCCATATTTAAGTATTTTTTTTTATGTACTTACCAATGATCTAATGAGGCCTTGAATGTTTCTACCATCATCATTTTGAGGTTGTAGTTCCTTCAAAGCATTCACCTACTTTCAGGCCTCTTCACTCCTCTGCGCATGTCTTTTTCACAGCGTGCTGACAAAGTGATCCCCCTTACTTAGTTCCCTTCAGTCGTGGGCCAATGTCTGTGGAATTCATTGCTGACAAGGCATCCTTTGATTCCAGGTCTGTTGGGTAATTTGGAGTAAGGGAAAGGTACAGAGAGTCACATAATTTAATGAGTCATTACTTCACTTAAGCCTCTCATTATGCAGACATAACTATTAATTTACGTAAATTTAAATCTGATAGAACATCAATCTATTAATCTAAATGTGATGGGACTGTGTTTTTTTTATTCTACCTGAAGTCTTGATGCACAAAATAAACCATGTAACATTAAAACCAATGGAATAATACAGCAAGTGTCACTTTTTGTTTCTCAAGCTGCTGTTAAGGATAGCACGACATCAAATCACAAAAATAAACACATTTGAAAAGTTTACTACTATAACACAATTTCCAACAACTTAGTTATGTAAGTACAAAACGTTTTTCACATTGTCAAGAAAAAAATGAAAACATAAACAAGAAAAGTGTCCATACTGACTGATGCACTCAGGGTTTCTCCTCTGTTTTCTCCGTGAAGAGAAATTAATGTGATGTGGTTTCATAGGTTTTCCGGAACAAAGCTACTGATCCGTCTCATTTTATTCCAGCATACCCTGAAAATAAATAAATAAATAACTGATTAGAAGAAACAAAATAATAATCAACATAAACATTGTCACTTCCTAAAAATGTGCCATTTAAAATGGTTTCTGCCACCTGTTATCACCATCCCACCATTATGCTTTTAACTCAAACATTAGAAAAACAAACTAAATTATTTTTTTTTAGATATGAATGTCTCCCTACGAAAACATCTGTGTGACAACATAAAAACAGCAAATCTCTTACCAACCTCTTTTCACTTCACCAAAATGAAGTGAACTTTTTTCCCAGACCGGACAAAGCTGTTAGAATGATAAAAAATAGGAGGTAAGTGTGATAAAATAATGTGGCATGTACTTCTTCTTTTAAGAATTTAAAAAAGAGTCATGGGAAAACTCAAAGACGTGACTGTACCATCTCCCAGTTTTCCTGCTTGCTCTGCTGCGCCTCCCTGCAGGATTTTGGTGAGAACGTTTTCCCCTTCAGCTGGTGCCTGACCTGCTGCAGCGCTTCCAATCCCGACCGGTTTGCTCCCGATTCCAACAGGAGCAGCCTTGGAGCCTGCATAGAAAAATAAATATGAAGGAACGCAAACCCATCAGAAACTGAACGTTTTCCAACTATGATTTCTGGTTTGTAAAATAAGCGACATTTACCTATGCCTGTAAGAGGAGGTGTGGCTATTTTGGTGGGCTGGGGGGCTGTTGGGACTCCAGCTGGAGGTTTCATTCCTGTGGCAGCTGCTGTAGGTGTAGGATCCATTTTTGGCTGTAGAAGATTATGTTGAGATAATAATTAATTTAGCCTTTTTTTAATTTTTGGAAACATTTACAATAGTTTACAAAATTTAGGTATTATTGTCAATAGTTTCTTGTTGTTGCTTTGTCTTTAGTACTGCATAAAATGACACAAAAGATAGCACAAACATAAAATAAAGAAAAAAGACCACTGGCACAACTACAAAGAGGTAAAGGACAATAATGGTTACAATGGTTGAGTTAGGGCAAAGTTCATTTCAGTATTATTGTTTATACTCCTCACTTATGTTTACACAGCCCTAATTGGGGGAGTTTATTGAGTAAATCAGGTAGTACACTCCACGGGTCAAAAGTAATGAAGAGGATTGGTTTTTTGTGATTTTCACCACTATAATTGGAAGATTTTACTAGGACATAAAATTAGTTGTTCTATTTTGTATAGGCTTCGCCCTTTAAGAGCTGTCGCTGGTGAGTTTATCCCGTCATGCAAAGCATCGCACTGAAAAAATTTAGTCCATGCCCACCTGTTGTGTGGGCCCCACCCGGTCCGTATAAATTACGTTAAGAGTGGGTAATTGGCTCCCATTTTTCTTCAGCAAGCTATAGCACTGTCAGAAGAACGAAGAAGGGAAGTTGTCCAGCTTGACTGGCAGAACCTTTGTTAAGGCCACCTGGGGTCCCGCCATGCCAACCTCCTGCCATCCCGGTGAGTTCTCCTCCTCAAGGAGAATCAGATGAGCAGCCTTGTTTCAAAGTAAGCGCCGAGGAATATTTTTCAGTGGCGGGTCGCTACACGTTGGACGACGCCATCGACCCTTTTTTCCTTTTAACGCCGACTCTCGGAGCGAATCGGATGGTTCCTCCGGGACAGGCGACATCAGCAGCAGCCCCCGCTGCTCACTCCCTCCTGGAGAGCGTAGTGTCGGAACAAGGGGGGCTGAGCAAATGCCCACCCTCCTGGGCCTTTTCGCATTGGCGACCACACCGCTCCCAGCTGTCAGTGCCCTCCTCTCGGAGCTGCTCGGCATAATCCAGGAGGCGGCTGACATGAAGGGACTTTTTTCCGTCCCTCTCCTACCCCCGTCCAGATCGGATGATCTAGTGGGAATGTTTTTTGGCTCCACCCCAGCTTGCCGTCCTGATCCCATCTGGCCTCGTTTTCCAGCAGTGACATCCTACTGGAATGAGGCTGCAGCCGAACCTGGTAGACTGAGAGCGCAGGTTTCCACATTCGCGCCCATCACCAGAGTGCAGGGGTTTTACCGAGTGGAAATTCCCTCAGTGCCCCCCTGGAGACAAGCCTGGCGGAGGATCTCGGAGCAAAGATGTCCAGGTTGGACCAGCGTCCTGCGCCTCATTCAGCACGATTAAAATGTACACTGCAGCCATCTCTTCTTGTCACAAAAGTTTTCGGGGACAGAACAGTTCTTAATCATTTGCTGATGAAGCGTTTTTTAAAAGGGGTACAGAGACGCAGGCCTGTTTTCACGCCCACTTGCTCCACAGTGGGATTTAACGCTGGTCCTGCGAGCCCTGATCAAAGCTCCATTCGAGCCACTAGATCAGGTTCCGATTAAATTGTTGTCTCTTAAAACAGCCCTGCTGTTGGCTTTAACATCCACTAAGAGGGTGAGTGATTTATCTGCCCTCTCTGTCGCTCCGTCATGTCTCAGAACTCAGGCTGATGGCAGCTCAGCTGATCTGAGACCTAATCCAGCGTTTTTGCATAAAACATCCCGAGCTCTTTTAAATTAAGAGTGATATCGTTGGAGGGATTTTTTCCCTCCTCCCCACAATCAGAAGAAGAAGCATCTTTCCATCTTCTCTGCCCTGTACATGCATTGACATGTTACGTAACACGCACGGCGGCATTGCGTCAGACTCAACATGTGTTTGTGCATTATAGAGATGCATCTGCAGGTCGCCCGTTATCCACCCAGTGCCTGTCACACTGGCTGTGTGAGGCCATTTCTGAAGCCTACAGAGCATCAGATTTAGATCCTCCTGACAACATCAGGGCGCACTTGACCAGAGGTATTGCATCTTCGACTGCTTTGCATAATGGTATGTCAATGCAGGATATTTGCACTGCAACCGCGTGGTCAACATCCTGTTCATTTATTCGCTTCTATTTACGTGATGGGATGGCTCATTCCATGGCACATTCTGTCCTTAGTGCTTTAACAGAATGAATATTGTTGTTTCATGGAATCTCGTTTAAACTCACATCTGACTGCATGCATTTACAGTGTGAGATGTTGTTATCTGTCACAGGTTATGACTGTTGTTTTTATTTTATGGTTATTAATCAGTTCATGTCTACTGTCATCAATCAGTTCATTTGATTAATAATCACTTCATTTATTATTAATCTGTTCATATTGAAGAGCCGTGGATTTGCTCTGTTCACGGCCTTTTTCATCCTCTCCTCTTTTCTGTTGAAAACCTTTCCGGGGCGTTCATGCACTCGGAACGCATAAATTACGCAGTGCGCGTCTGTGCATAGTGTGCATAATTACGCAACACGTATTTACGCACATGGAGAGCTGAGTGACAAGATATTGTTTTGGGGCAAGCGGGCGCTTCTTATGGTGTTCGAATGGACCCAGTGAGGTGGAGACTACATCTGCTTCGCTCTTAACCCACCAGCAACAGCTCTAAAAGGGCAAAGCCTATAAGAAATAGAACGTTGGTTACGTACTGTAACCCCAGAGTCTATGAGTATAGGCGTAGACCTTTAAGCATCGGGCCTCACTGGCTCCTAAATGGCTGAAGAAAAAGCTATTTGGGAGCCAATTACCCGTTCTTAACGTAATTTATACGGACCGGGTGGGGCCCACACAACAGGTGGGCATGGACTAAATTTTTTCAGTGCGATGCTTTGCCATCCATCCATCCATCCATTTTCTTCCGCTTATCCGGGGTCGGGTCGTGGGGGTAGCAGCCTAAGTAGGGAGGCCCAGACTTCCCTCTCCCCAGCCACTTGGGCCAGCTCTTCCGGGGGAATCCCGAGGCGTTCCCAGGCCAGCTGAGAAACATAGTCCCTCCAGCGTGTCCTGGGTCTTCCTCTGGGCCTCCTTCCGGTGGGACGTGTCCGGAACACCTCACCAGGGAGGCGTCCAGAAGGCATCCTAAACAGATGCCCAAGCCACCTCAACTGGCTCCTCTCGACATGGAGAAGCAGCGGCTCTACTCCGAGTCCCTCCCGGATGATCGAGCTTCTCACCCTGTCTCTAAGGGAGAGCCCAGACACCCTGCGGAGAAAACTCATTTCGACTGCTTGTCTCCGAGATCTCATTCTTTCGGTCACAACCCAAAGCTCGTGACCATAGATGAGGGTGGGAACGTAGATCGATCGGTAAATTGAGAGCTTTGCCTTTTGACTCAGCTCTCTCTTCACCACAACAGACCTGTACAGCGCCCGCTTCACTGCAGACGCTGCACCTATCCGCCTATCGATCTCACGCTCCATTTTTCCCTTATTCGTGAACAAGACCCCAAGATACTTGAACTCCTCAACTTGGGGTAGGACCTCCTCCCTGACCCGGAGAGGGCACTCTACCCTTTTCTGGCTCAAGACCATGGCCTCGGATTTGGAAAAACTGATCTTCATCCCGGCCGCATCGCATTCGGCTGCGAACCGCTCCAGCGAAAGCTGTAGATCACGATCTGATGAAGCCAATAAGACCACATCATCTGCAAAAAGCAGAGATGCAATCCTAAGGCCACCAAAACGGATTCCCTCAACACCTTGGCTGCGCCTAGAAATTCTGTCCATAAAAGTTATGAACAGAATCGGTGACAAAGGGCAACCTTGGCGGAGTCCAACTCTCACTGGGAACAAGCCCGACTTACTGCCGGCGATGTGGACCAGGCTCTGACACCAGTCATACAGGGACCTAACAGCCCGTATCAAAGGGCCCGGTACCCCATAATCCCAGAGTACCCCCCACAGGGCCCCCCGAGGGACGCGGTCGAACGCCTTCTCCAAGTCCACAAAGCACATGTAGACTGGTTGGGCAAACTCCCACGCACCCTCCAGGACCCTGCTGAGAGTGTAGAGCTGGTCCAGTGTTCCACGGCCAGGACGAAAACCGCACTGTTCCTCCTGAATCCGAGGTTCGACTATCCGACGGACCCTCCTCTCCAGAACCCCCGAATAGACCTTACCAGGGAGGCTTAAGAGCTTGATTCCCCTGTAGTTGGAACACACTCTACGGTCCCCCTTTTTGAATAGGGGGACCACCACCCCAGTCTGCCAATCCAGGGGAACTTCCCCCGATGTCCACGCAATATTGCAGAGTCACGTAAGCCAACACAACCCTACAACATCCAGAGCCCTAAGGAACTCTGGGCGGATCTCATCCACCCCTGGGGCCATGCCACTGAGGAGCTTTTTAACCACCTCGGTGACCTCAGCACCAGAGATTGGAGGGCCCGACCCAGAGTCCCCAGGCTCCGCTTCCTCAGTGGAAGACGTGCCGGTGGGATTGAGGAGGTCTTCAAAGTATTCCGCCCACCGACCCACAACATCCCGAGTTGAGGTCAGCAGCACACCACTCCCACTATAAACAGTGTTGGTGGCATACCGCTTTCCCCCCCTGAGACGCCGGATGGTGGACCAGAATCGTCTCGAAGCCGTGCGGAAGTTGTTCTCCATGGCCTCTCCGAACTCCTCCCATGCCCGAGTTTTTGCCTCAGCAACCACCCGAGCCGCATGTCGCTTGGACTGCCGGTACCCATCAGCTGCTTCCGGGGTCCCACAGGCCAAAAAGGCCCGATAGGACTCCTTCTTCAGCCTGACAGCATCCCTCACCGATGGTGTCCACCATCGGGTTCGAGGGTTGCCGCCACGACAGGCACCGACAACCTTGCGGCCGCAGCTCTGGTAAACTGCCTCGACAATAGAGGCACGAAACATGGTCCACTCAGACTCAATGTCCCCCACCTCCCTCGGAACATGTTCAAAGTTCTCCCGGAGGTGGGAGTTGAAACTCCGTCTCACAGGAGACTCTGCCAGACGTTCCCAGCAAACCCTCACTATACGTTTGGGTCTGCCAGGTCTGACCGGCATCCTCCCCTACCATCGGAGCCAACTCACCACCAGGTAGTGATCAGTTGACAGCTCCGCCCCTCTCTTCACCCGAATGTCCAAGACATGTGGCCGCAGATCAGATGAGACGATGACAAAGTCGATCATCGAACTGCAGCCTAGGGTGTCCTAGTGCCAAGAGCACATATGGACACCCTTATGCTTGAACAAGGTGTTCGTTATTGACAATCCATGACGAGCACAGAAGTCCAACAACAGAACACCACTCTGGTTCAGATCAGGGGGGCCGTTCCTCCCAACCACACCCCTCCAGGTCTCACTGTCATTGCCCACATGAGCATTGAAGTCCCCCAGCAGAACAAGGGAGTCCCCAAAAGGTGCACTTTCCAGTACCCCCTCCAAGGACTCCAGAAAGGGTTGATAATCTGAACTGCCGTTTGATGCATAAGCACAAACGACAGTCAGAACCCCTCCCCTCACACGTAGGCGGAGGGAGGCCACCCTCTCATTCACCAGGGTGAACCCCAATACACAGGCACCAAGTTGGGGGGCAATAAGTACGCCCACGCCTGCTCGGCGCCTCTCACCAGGGGCAAGTCCAGAGTGGAAGAGTGTTCAGCCCCTTTCAAGGAAACTGGTTCCAGAGCCCGAGCCATGCGTAGAGGTGAGTCTGACTATTTCTAGCCGGAACCTCTCAGCCTCACACACCAGCTCAGGCTCCTTCCCCACCAGTGAGGTGACATTCCACGTCCCAATAGCAAGATGCTTTGCATGATGGGATAAACCCACCAGCGACAGCTCTTAAAGGGCTACGCCTATACTCATAGAATCTGGGGTTACAGTACGTAACCAACGTTTTCATCAGTATCACGATAGACTACTGACCAATATCTGTAGAAGTTCTTTTGTATGTGTGTGGGGGGGATGGGGGGATATGATTTTTATATGCAAATAAACTAAAATCAGGTCCACTTACCACAATGGCCTGCTGCCCCACTGCAGACCCCACTCCTGGCTGCCGTCCCTGTGACGGAGTTTGTCCAGGTTTGGTCTGCTGCTGTTGCTGTGTTGGTCCAGTTCCAGCTGTTGTTGTTGAGGGCTGACTATTCTGAGAGGTATGGCTGTGCTGTGGTGGCTGCTGCTGCTGCTGCTGCTGTTGTTGTTGTTGTTGTTGTGGCACACTCTGCTGATGTTGCTGCTGAGCCTGCTGGCTGGCATCAAGTGGTTCAGAGCCTGGATGTCTTCCTGACTGACCCTGACCACCTGACCGCTGCTGCCCTGCATGGCCCTGAGGAGCCTGCTGGCTCTGAGGTTTAGAAGGATCTTGTCTCCTAGTAGCTGTGTGTTCTCCTTGTGGTCTTTGGCTCCTTCCAGCAGTGCCGTGGTGATGATTAGAGGGTGAGTCTCTAGAGAAGTCTCCTGAATTTCTTGGGCTTCCATGAGCAGAGCGGGAATCTGTGCCACTCCTTCTTTGTATGGCTGAGGATGTCCTGCCTTCAGCGCGTCCTGACGGGTCCTTGGGGTGAGTCCTGGAAGAGCGTGAAGACCTGGGGTCTTCTGAAGAGTGGCGAGAAGAGCTGTGCCTGCCAGAGCTGCCTCCATGGTGACGATGGTCTCGTGACGTGGAGGAAGGGTGACGCTGGTTGTACTCGTCCTGTTGACTGTATTCCTCTGGAGGCTCATCATAGTCATGGTAGGAGTGTTTATTACGTCTACCTGTGGAGGGGTGACTTCCAGTTCCATGATGTCGTGAGCGATCGGAGCGGGCCTCCCGTGGTTTCTCAAACCAATCAGTCTCTTCTTGGCTTAAATGATATGCTTTTTGAGACACCAATGAACAAATTATCAGTCAGCTGTTGTTGTATGTGGAGTAGAATGCAAAATGATGCATTACAAGGAAAACATGGTCCACATTCAAGAGCCATGCAGATTTATGAAGAATCCCAGCAAAAAAATAAATAAAAATTAGTGAAAAGGGGGTGTTCATGCATTGCCTCACATGTAGAAATAGTGCATGCAAAACAAAAGTTTAAAATATTTTTGGCTTTACAAATAAGGTGAGCAATAAACAAAATAAAATGTAAAGGTAAAACAAAAATCATGAAGCTTTTCTCCACATATGGCATGCAGTCATTTCAGCACACTTGAACAGTGGGAAGAACAATTTAAAGCACAAATAATTTAGCACCAGTTACCTTCACTGTCAGAAACCGCACAGTGCATGTCATCTACGAGATATGGGTCATCTGGTTTATAGACATGACTTCTGGGAAGGTCCTTCTTATGGTGGTCCTGCACATCTGGTAGTGAATGGCTGGAGCCATACTGGTTTCTCACATCATGGGCCTCTGGTATGCCTGAGCCTCTTCCATTGCCTACAAGCTTTCCAACAGGACTAAGTGGGCTCTCCTCTTCTGAGTTCTGATTTCGAATGGGTGGCCTTCCACTGCGGCTGCTTCTATGAGACCGCTCCATAGCATCTCTTTCATAGGATTTACTACGATGGCCCGTGGCATCTCTAGATGATATCTTGTCCATTCCATATCCTGTGGACCTGGACCTACCAGAACTGTACATGCGGTCCTCTTCCTCAAGACCTTCATGATTGGTGCCATAATATTTCTGCTGATCATACTTTTTCATGCCATAGGTGACATCATCTTGTGGCTTTTTGGATCTCGACACAACTGGACATGTACCCCCAGTTGATGTTGTCATTGTGTAAGAGGCAAGGTCAGACTCTACATCTCGAGCTTCCTCAATAGGGGAGAATTTAGAAATCTTCTGCTCCATTCCCTGCTTCCTATGCTTACTGCGTTTAGAGGAAACTACAGCAGGAGCAAGATTTTTGGATGTAACTTTGTGGCTACCAGAGCGTGACGTATGTTTATAATCGTCATAGTAATAAGACGAGCCTCCACTCACTGTGGTGCTGGTGCGACTGTCCACTGTGCTCTGGTAACTAGTTGAACCTGTGGGTCTGCCATAAGCATCAACAGACTCATCATAGACAGCTCCTCTTGCAGGGCCATTCTCATTGCGATACCGCCCTCCAACAGGATGGCCAAGAGCATCAGTGGGTTGACCTGTGTTGTCTTTTGTCAACTCACTGATATCATCAATCATCACATAGTTCCTTGGAATATTCTGCTCCAGGTTGGAGGTATAAAGACCATCTGAACCATATGCAGAGGTGGGGCTTTCCACTGAGTGAGTCAGGCCCGGCTCTGGAGCACGATATTGTCCATATGCACTGCTATAAGCTGAACCAAAGCTGGTATCTGGTGCTGATGTAGCCACTGAGACTGCTGGGTTGTTAATTACCTCATAATTAGTAGGAAGTTTTTGTTCAAGGTCTGCCAAAGATGTTTGCCTTGGTCTTTGATGAACTGTAAGGATTTCTGCCTGGGGCTGGTAGGTGAGGCCAGCTTGGTAGGAACTATGGGTGGGGTAAGGAAGGCTCTGTCCTGGCATAGGCTGACCAGGTGTGTGGAAGCCCTGGTGACCATGCTGCTGCATGTTAAAATCTGTTTGATAAGAGGACTGGCCATATGTACGGGAAGAATAGGCCTGGTTCTGGTATCCAGGGCCGGTAGGAGGATGGGGCTGAAAGGTTCCAGGCTGTGGGGCAGAGGTTGGGTACTGAGGAGGCTGGAAACCTATTTGTGGATAAGCAGAGCCAGGCTGCTGTGTTGATGGTTGACTTTGAGGATATGGATATGGCATATAGGAGGAAGTTGAGGGATATTGAGAGGTTACGTTGAGGTCATTAGTAAACTGACTCAGTGGTGCAGTGCTAGGTCTTGTCAGCAAACCATTAGCATCATAATTTCCAGTTGCGGCTACCATTCTAAGGTTATTGAGTTCACTGTCTGACATGTAGTCTCGAGCATCCCCCATACATCGCAGATAAGCCAACTCTCTCCTCTCCCTCTCCTTCACCATGGTCTCTTTTCGCTGAGTGATGCCCAGCTCCAAATAGCGCAGCTTGGCATCAATCTCTTTTTCCTCTTCCTCCAGTTCAGCCTGCTGCTTACGCAATTTTGAAGACTCTTGCTCCACAGCTTTTAATTCACTCAAGAGACCAGCCTTGGTAACTCCTTGGGTAGGCCTTGGAAGGACCCTCTGCGACATGCCAGGAGAGTTGTACATTTGTGCTAGAGAAACAATTGGGAGCGGCGCCTCCTCCGGTGGTGGGCTTGGGAGAGTCCTCTTCACTTTCCTCATCAGAGAGTTCTGCTGCTGCTGCAGGGAGGCCATCTGCTATGAGAGCCAGAGACATGTCAGTAAACACTGAGTTATAAACAGAATCTGTTTATGTAAATTAAACTCATTATTCTGTACTAGGTATTCAGAGAGGATCTGTATATTTCTTCTGAACACTGACATGCAAAAGTAGTTTGCATAACATTTTTAAAACACCTAATATTAAATGTCCAGTGGAGTTGTATGTATGGAGTTCAACTAAAATGGTTTCTTTCAGCTTATTACAATAAAATTTCCAATGAAGTTAAAGTTTTTAAGATATGGTTTAAATCAGACACATCATAATATCAATGAAGTAATATGTGAGCTGTTAAGCAGCTGAAATTGAAGATACAACACAATTAATTTATTGATATCCCCACTCTAAGATGAAGATAATTTTGTATTAAATGATATAGTAACAGCACGTACAACAATATTAAGCATTAGCCATGAATGTTGTTACCAGTCACATCAAAACCAGCCCGATCAAATCATATTAATACTAGGGATGCACTGATCCACTTTTTTAAACTTCCGATCCGATCCCAATACCCAAGTCTGAATATCAGCCGATACCGATCCAGTTCCGATATCATAATCCTCATTGATTTTATATGAGGCTGTAATAATCTCCTCTCAAGTACAATTTGTACAAATATATGCATGCATGTCCAAAAAGGCAACTTGAGGTAAGTTTTATTAATTTTGGATAAGTTTTAAAGTTAGAATTAAATTCTGCTAGCACAAAACACGTTTCTTTTTATTCCTAGCTTTAAAGTGGATATTAAAATGATTAATTATAAGTGATTGTTTAAAGTTATTTTATATTTTTTTAAATAAGGGGCAGATATAATATTTTTTTTCTTCTTTCTGCACTTTTTTCATTCAATGTTTTCTTTTTCATGTTTTTTTTTATTTTATTTTGTTTCTTTTAAATGAATGAATTAAATTAAATAAATGTTAAATGGCTTCAAACACCTGCTAAGTTCCTGGCATAAACCAACAGACATGTTCCCGTTTTTAGTATTTTACATCACTTTATAATATAGCTGTTTTTGTTTTTAATATAATTTTCAAATCATGTTTTTTTTTTATGATTGTTTACTGTTGTACTGATAAATATTTCGTGGAGGGTAAACTATATCTTGGCTGCTAATATCAAGCTGTGAAATCCTTTGTTTTCTACAACTGGTAGTGGTTGGTCATGAATCATGATGAAGTCTTTGTAAACATTTGAGCTCCGTGGTTTCAGCGATGTCTTCTTCTTGTTCAATCCGAAGCAGGCAGCCTGTTTTGGGGCAGCCGCGCTCAGTCTGTCCCTCCTCAGAGACGAGCAGACTGAGCGGGGCAGATTGGACGCGGCTGGCCGGGGTCGAGTAGCCTCTTTCCGCTTGAGCAAAAAGCAGCGCCCCGCTGAAGCCACGGAGCTCGAATGTCCATCGTAAAACTAACTTTACCGCGGTTTAATGTGGTGCTATGGCTCTGCAGACATTGCACGTTGCTGTCTTGTTTTGTGGTGTTTTTAGTGTAAAATACTTCCACACAGCGGACATGTTTCGATGAAAAGTTTGTTAGCTGTTAGCCACAGTGCTGCTAACTCAGTCCTCACATTGTAGCTGGCTGCAAACTATGAACTGGATTTCCTGAATGTGAGGTGGGTCTTATTACTCTGGGTTCATGAGACACGCCGCCGTTCAGGAAATCTATTCCGTAGTTTGAAGCCAACATGCATCATGGATCGGAAATATCGACAGGTGGATCGGAAAAATCCGTTACGTAAATTATGCTGGTATCGGAGGCCGATACAGATACTGGATCGGATCGGCCCCATCCCTAATTAATACTTCTTTGAACACATTTAATTTGATATACAGTGCCTTGCGAAAGTATTCGGCCCCCTTGAACTTTTCAACCTTTTGCCACATTTCAGGCTTCAAACATAAAGATATAAAATTTTATTTTTTTGTGAAGAATCAACAAGTGGGACACAATCGTGAAGTGGAATGAAATTTATTGGATGTGTCAAACTTTTTTAACAAATAAAAAACTGAAAAGTGGGGCGTGTAATATTATTCGGCCCCTTTACTTTCAGTGCAGCAAACTCACTCCAGAAGTTCAGTGAGGATCTATGAATGATCCAATGTTGTCCCAAATGACTGATGATGATAAATAGAATCCACCTGTGTGTAATCAAGTCTCCGTATAAATGCACCTGCTCTGTGATAGTCTCAGGGTTTTGTTCAAAGTGCAGAGAGCATCATGAAGACTAAGGAACACACCAGGCAGGTCCGAGATACTGTTGTGGAGAAGTTTAAAGCCGGATTTAGATACAAAAAGATTTCCCAAGCTTTAAACATCCCAAAGAGCACTGTGCAAGCAATCATATTGAAATGGAAGGAGTATCAGACCACTGCAAATCTACCAAAACCCAGACGTCCCTCTAAACTTTCATTTCGAACAAGGAGAAGACTGATCAGAGATGCATACAAGAGGCCCATGATCACTCCGGATGAACTGCAGAGATCTACAGCTGAGGTGGGAGAGTCTGTCCATAAGACAACAATCAGTCGTACACTGCACAAATCTGGCCTTTATGGAACAGTGGCAAGAAGAAAGCCATTTCTCAAAGATATTCATAAAAAGTGTTGTTTAAAGCTTGCCACAAGCCACCTGGGAGACACACCAAACATGTGGAAGAAGGTGCTCTGGACAGATGAAACCAAAATCGAACTGTTTGGCCACAATGCAAAACAATATGTTTGGCGTAAAAGCAACACAGCTCATCACCCTGAACATACCATACCCATTGTCAAACATGGTGGTGGCAACATCATGGTTTGGGCCTGCTTTTTGTCAGCAGGGACAGGGAAGATGGTCAGAATTGATGGGAAGATGGATGGGGCCAAATACAGGACCATTCTGGAAGAAAACCTGTTTGAGTCTGCAAGAGACCTGAGACTGGGACTCATCTTCCAACAAGACAATGATCCAAAACATACAGCTAAATCTACAATGGAATGGTTCACAAATAAACATATCCAGGTGTTGGAATGGCCAAGTCAAAGTCCAGACCTGAATCCAATTGAGAATCTGTGGAAAGAGCTGAAGACTGCTGTTCACAAACGCTCTCGATCCAACCTCACTGAGCTCGAGCTGTTTTGCAAAGAAGAATGGGCAAAACTGATAGAGACATACCCCAAGAGACTTGCAGCTGTAATTGCTGCAAAAGGCGATGCTACAAAGTATTAACGCAAGGGGGCCGAATAATATTGCACGCCCCACTTTTCAGTATTTTATTTGTTAAAAAAGTTTGACACATCCAATAATTTCCATTCCACTTCACGATCGTGTCCCACTTGTTGTTGATTCTTCACAAAAAATTAAAATCTTATATCTTTATGTTTGAAGCCTGAAATGTGGCAAAAGGTTGAAAAGTTCAAGGGGCCGAATACTTTTGCAAGGCACTGTATATGGAACAGGTGAACCCCAGCATCAGAAACTTTTTATTCAAATTTGTGTCTGAAAAATTTTATAAATGCAATGAAATGTGAGATTTGCACTAAACACTAAAACTATAGAATTTGAATAAAAATGCAAATAACTCATCTCTGACTATATTTGGTCCAAGTATGCAGCAGTGTTAATTTAATGTGCCCAGATGTTAACAAACATGAAGAAAACAAATCAGAACGAGGGTTTCTTTACATTATGTGTCAACACATAATCAACATCTTCTGTTCAAAGAAAAAATTATTTCGTACCTGGCTGCTGGACACAACTTGATGATGATATGGAGAAAACCTGTTCTTGGCAGGGTCCTCCGATGTTGGGCTGAGAGGCTTTGGATCCGACATTGAACGCTGCACATTTTTTATGGGTCTTGGCAGCGACTGGTGACGTTGAGGAGATTCAGCAGTGAAAGCCTTCTGTTGTGGTGTAACATGGGCTTTGTTAAGCTTCTCCTGGGAAGCAAATGTTGTCGCCAACATGCGATGAGGAGAAAGTGGAGATACTGGAGAGTATAATACTTGGGGAGATTTGGGAGGATGTCGAGAAGAAGTCTCATTTTGTTGATGTTGATAACCAATTTCCAGAGGGTCTGGTTTCCTCCTTTCAAACTTAGCAACTCCTTGGAGTCTGGGAGTAGTTGGGTCAGATGCATTTGCTCCTACTATATGCAGACTTGTTGAGTATGGACTAATAGTTGTAGGGACACTCAGCTGAGGGGCGACTACTCCCTGAGAATGTGATTCTGGTTCAGTTTGGCAGGCTAGGCTCTCTCCTTTGTGAGTTCTTTCAGGAGCTGCTATGTAATGCAATAGGTCAACCTTTGAGGTCTCTGCCATGGTAATGTGGATTGCAGGTGAAACCCTGCCTAGTTGGTCTGGCTCTGTTTGGCATGATGAGTCGTTGGTGGTCTGAATAGCTATGCTTGTAGAAGCCACTTTAGATGATCCTTCAGATTTTGTATCACCGCTGGACTCTGAATGCTTTGATGCACGAGATCGTCTGCGTCGTACTGGCTGCTGGTCCCATTCTGCTTGGTCTTCCTCATCAGTCTGAACGCTGCAGTCTGCAATGCGCCTTGTTCTCCTACGCCTATTTAAGTACCTGTCTTCACCATCCTCATCATCTGTTTGCACACAGCTGTCTATAATTCTTTTGACAGAGTCTTCCTCTGAGCCATCCCTCAGCCGAGGCATAGAATTCTGTTTTTTCATAATCTTAGAATCAGCCTGCTTGTCACTGCTTTTTAAAGACATTTCAGAGGCAGAGCTTTGAATAGGTCGAGCAGCCATCACTGCTTGAACTACTTGTCCATCTTGCCAGAATTGAACACTCTGACCATCTTTTTGAATTACTCTACCACTTTGGTCGCAAATTATAAATCCTTGAGGGACTCCTCCTCCAACAACTACCCCTTGGATAGCACTCTGAGCTGTTGTTGCTGCTGCTGCAGCTGAAGCTGATGCAGCAGCTGCCTCAGCAGCAACTGCTGCTGCAGCCTCTACTGCAGCTGTCTTTTGCCTTTTCTGCTCCTCCAACTGATGCTGAAGTTGGTGTTGTAGGGTCTGAATTTGCTCAAGTTGCATTCTTTGCTGGGCCAGTTGTTCTCTTTGCATTATAAGCTGCGTTTCACGCTCTGCTTGTTGTTGTTGTAGTACCTGTTGCTTGATTGTCTGAAGTTCTTGAAGTTCCCGTTGAACAAGTAGCTGCTCTTTTTCTCTGTGACGTTGAAGCTCCATACGATCTCTTTCTAGCTCCTCTTGTAGACGCATCTGTCGTAATTTTTCCAGTTCAACTCGTTCTCGCTCAAGCTGCAATAATTGCTCTTGTTGCTGATTCAGTGTTTCATCATCCTTATTTTGCTGTGCATCAGTTGTAGAAGAAAGTTTGGTTTCTGGTGTTTGGGCAGTTTCATTTGTCATTGCTTTTGTCTGGGTTTGAGGCAGAACTACAGACTGAGGCTGACTGATAGGCTGAGCATGAGAATGAGTTTGTGTCAAAGATAAAGGTTCGGTTTGTGCAGGTAATTGCTGTGCCTGCATTTGAGGCTGCACCGGTTGGACAATTGGAGGCTGACCTTGAGCCTGAGAGAGTGATGCAAGACTCTGTGAGGTAAGTTGAGAATAGTCTGATTGATGATCTGCTGTGGTTTGCATACCAGGAACAGACATATGTTGTGCTCCAGATTGTAATGCTGGTTGGGTTATTGGAAAGGTTGCAGCTGTTTGGGCAGCTATTGTCATTAAAGGCTTTCCGAGATACACTGGAGTTTCCTGCTCTGAGCTGCTTAACACAGAAGTGCCTTCTGATGGTGTGGCTGATGTAGGATACTGGTTTGGAGGAGGGTAGGTATATGATCCTTGAGTGGACAGAGGCATCCTGGGAGTCACTTGAGGCAATCTGGTTAGAGTAGCCAAGGGTACAGCAGTCACCCCTGTAGGGTATGGTCTGTAAATTCCCCTAGGCACTGGGCGTATGACTGGGGCTGGCTGTGTAGTAATTGGCAAGGTTGAAGCTATTGGAGCATTTATAGTGGAATATATCATACCATCACCTCCTCTTATGGCAGCAGTGTACAAGGCGCGTATACTTGCTTGTCTAGCATTTATTAAATTTGTTAGTGTTTGACCATGCACTGTTTGTCGCCCATCTTGTCCATAAAGTAAATTTGCTCTTACTGATGCTAAACCTTGATGGAGATTTAATCTTGCTAAAGGTCCTCCCCTTCCAGCTGCATATGCTGCCAGTTCAGGATTATTTCCAAAACGACTCCCAGTTTGATCAACAGTGTTAAGAGCTGCACACATGCGACTGATCTCCCTTGCAGTAGTTGCACTATATTGAGCCAAATTAGAGTCCTGCAATCCTGTTAGGTCACGTGAACCACAAGTGTAGTCCGAATTAATATTTGACATGGAGCCATATCGACGAAGGGGTAATGAAGGAGCTGATAACTCACCCTGGTGACGCAGGTCCGTATAAGAACCATATTGTGCCCCTATGCCAAGGTATCCAGCATCATAAACCTGATTCATACTGCTAAGATCTACAGCAACCCCCCCTTGGATATTGTTCTGATAGTGAGAAGCATCAGTCAATGAAGGCAAATTGGTATCAGACATGGAAGGCTGTATTTTTCCAGTAGGTAGTATAGGTAGAGGGTATTGTTTATGATCCATTGTTATTCCTTGGGTAACTTGAGTCTTTTGTTGCTGCTGTTGTTGGCTAACACTGTAGTGTGGTGGGTGGGGAGGTTGGGCTACTTGAGATGTTTCAGTGGTGGGATTTTTATCTGAAGATACTGTGGGAGACTTCTGAGAGAACGATCCGGAACAGCTACCAGCAAAAGGTAATTTGTAAACAACATCACAACAAGCCACTTGATTTTCTGATTTGAGCTGTCCAGTCAGATCCAAAACCTGAGGTGGAGGAGGAGCAGGGGCTTGGTCTTCTTGCTTTACTAACTGAGTAACTGTGCCACCTTGTGAAATGTTGTTCTCATCAAGTTGCACCATCATAATATGGGGTTTACCTGTAGACAAGTTCATTACTGTTGGCTTGTTTTTAAGCTCTAAGGCAATGCCACCATACATTTCATGGGGTGCATTAGAAGTAAGAGCCCCAGACACTGATGGTGGAGCCAGAGGAGATACTCTAGGTATGGCACTAGCAGTCACTACAGGCTGGGCATCACTTGTCTGTGCCACTACAAGGTCTTTTTTCATCAACAGTGGCTGTACCTGATTAGCTAAATTGTAACGAGCAAAAGAGGACTGCTGTTGGTGTTGCTGAAGCTGCTGCTCAAGAAGTTGTTGCTGATGCAGAAGCTTCTGTTGTTGTAACTGCAGTTGTTGTTGCTGTATTTCAAGATTTTCTAGGCAAGCATCTATTTTAGGAATAGACGGGTCAGTAATCAGTTGCTTACTCTGGGTTAAACACACGGCGGCTCCAACACACTGACCTAGATCCACACGGTTCTGCAATGGGTCTCCATACACAACTGGTTGCTTAGGTTGTGACATGAATGTTGACCCTGCAACAGTGACACTAACTGTTGTTGGTGTTGATGCAGATACATGTGGTTGTTCTTGTGCATTGAGGTTCATAATAAGAGGCTGCACTGCTGTGTGCCTACCAGATGGCTGCTCAGCTCCTAAAGAGTACCTTCTTGTGTCAGAGGCAAGAGATGTTAGATCCATGCCCTGATCTGTCATTATAATTGGAGCTGATCTCAGTGGAGCTCTTAGGTCTACAACAGCAGTGTTTGGAACTGTTTGGCTCTGCCCCACAACTTTTGAAGTACCTGTAACATTAGAGATTTTACACAGAGATATATTTTCCATTGAACCACGACTATGTGCACTTATAGTCATAGCACTAACACCAACATTAACTTTTTCAATATTTTGACCCATTTGAGAAAAATGTTTCATGGTTTGGGGTGATGTTGGAGAACTTGTTGAAGGAGACTGTGAGCTATACAATGTTTTACAACCTGGCTGTGTTGGTGATGATAGGGGAGATGTAGAGGAATTTACAGTCAGTGGCTTGGCAGGACTAGACCTTTCAGAACCCAATGTTATTACCATCACTGGTGAATCTTGAGAGGACTGTTGTCGTACAAGACGTGGTGACATTGTCCTTTGAGGTGTTTGAGCACTGTGGGACACTGAAGTTGTTGTAGCACCAGTTGGCAACGATGGCAGCTGCCTGCTATTACCACTAGTGTGTCGCACAGGGGGTGTATGTGTTGGGCTTTGGGTTGGAGATACAGTGGGAGAAACTGGGGGACTGGGTCCTTTAAAAAGTGAAAAAACTTTGGAGGTCAAGGAAGATGATCCAGGGTCAGTTGTTGGTTGTGTTGGCCTCTGTGAGCCTGCTCTGTTATTAACAGGCACTGTGCCTCCACCATGCCGAGTTGAAGCAGCCTGACTCATTTGGGCTTTGGTTGTTGCAACTCCAACAACACCTTCAATTTTGGCACTTTGTGTCATCATTCTGTTCTGTGTTTCTTTTGATAAATGTTGGGCTGCTTGCATACCTGCTATTCTTGAATCACTGCCTGTTGTGGAGAAGGTTATTGGTGCATTTACCTGCGTTGGGCTTGAGCCTGGAGTTAGAGAACTTCCAGCTTCAAGATGATACCCACCATCTGATTGTGAGCCACCTTTCTGTTGATTAATTGTTTTTCCTTGCTTCTGCATGAGCTGTGCTTTCCTCATCATCTCCTCATACACTTCTTCTGCACTTTTTAGAGTTTTATCAGATGGTGACATTGAGGTCTTCTCTGTTGGGGAGTAGAGTGATGTAAAAGTTGGAAGATTGAATTCTTTTCCTGATTTGTAAAGCTTTCCTCCAATCATCTCAAAACCTTCTGCCTCTGAGTCCATAGAGGGTGAATATTCAGAGCAGGATGATCTATGGAGCTCCTCCATCTCCGCAGCCTGTCTCAGCTCCTCTGTTGGTGATGCATCCTCAATAGGAGAGAGATTACTCGGAGGAGTTTTGGACCGTTCTCTGCGCCTCTGTGCTCGAAGTTCCTCTTTATCCCTTTTTGTTTTCCGGGCAGTACTCCGAATTCTCTGTTGCTCTAGATCTCTCATCTGCTCCTGTTCCCTAAGTAGTTCCTCCTCTTCTCTAAGCTCATCCTCCTCAGAGGAGTCCTCAATTGTGGGGAGCAGTGGCCCATGGGACCGATGACGAGCTTTTCTCTGCTGCTTTGCTTCTTCAAGTCGTGCTCTCCGACTAGGACTGCTGTCACTATCGTCTTCCATGGATGACACAGAGGTTGGGGATGTTCCAGAAGTGTAGCTGGGAGTAGTGGCGGGTAGAGTGGATGAATAATCTCCCTTGGACCTCTCCTCAGGAGAACCAGTCAGACTCTCCATTTCAAGCTCTGGTTCTCGAAGGTCATGTTCACTACTGAGCTCAATGTCTCGATTGTAGCTGTTAGTATTATTCAGCTCAATTGTCTTAAAACGTCGAAGGCCACCTGCCATTACTATATCTTCCTCTTCTTTTGTTTTATAAGCCCCCTCTGAAACCTTTGTATCTTCTTCAAAACTATTAGATTGATGAGAGAGACGCCTTCTCTCTTTGCCTAAATCCCCACCAGCTTTGTGTGTCTTTTTAGATTTCTGGTTTCCAAGTTCTTCTAATTCTTCTTCATCAGCACTCATCTCCATAATCTGTCTCCTCATATATTCCTCATCTGTTAAATCTTTATGTGACTTCTTTTGTCTTATTGGCAATGGTGATAAACCACTTTCACTGCTGTCTTCCACATAATCGTGACGAAGCTTGCAACTGAGGTCATCTTCTGATTCATCCCTTGCTGCCTCATCTTCCGGACTGTAGTCTTGCCCCACAGAAAGTGAATGAGGCCTGTGTTTCAGATCTGAGGCAGTCTTTGATTCAAGCAAAGGTTTCATAGAGCTTTCTAACTTGGTGATTTCAGAGGGGATGGAAGCACCTCTTTCACTAAGCTTTAATCCCTCTTCTTGGATTCGACCTGTAATTTCCCCTTGAGAACTCGAGATGCCATCTGAAGAGTATCCAGTGTCACTTAAACTCTGCATACTTGCTTTGTTGTGGTCCTAAAGAAAAAGAGAAAAGGAGAGGGATCAAAACCCAATAAAGTTCTTCCGTACTAACTCATAAAAGTTATATTACAAGCTTCAGTGCACATTTCAGACCTCACTATTTCATCCAGCTCATCAGCAATGACATTTTTAAGGACAATGGTAAATGTATGGACGTAAAATATATATATTTTTACTCCTAATACAGATGAAACAGTCTCTAAAAGTAACATATTAGAAAATAATTACTTGGTAAATAATCAAAAAAAGTATTTTATGCTAAAATCTTTAAGCTAAAATCAACCCAAATGTTTATACTATCAATACAAGTTTTTACTTATCACAAATATTGACCATTTTGTATTTGTTTGGGTTGAATTTGCTTTTTAGTGTTATGCACACACAGATGGAATAAAAAATATACCGACACAGACTGAATATAACACAACTGAACATACAAACATTTACAGACAAATGTCATTTTGTTACATGCTTATTTGACACCTTTGACGCATTCTCCATTGCATTCTTCGAACCGTTGAAGAATAAAGAACATGCTTAGAATGCTTAAAACATTACCACAAGGTGGCACATAAAACAAACAAAAATTTTTTGCATTTCATTGTTTTTAGTTTGTTTTTACAAAAAGGTAAATAAATTAACAGTTTAAAACAGAGAAATGCAGGAGCAGGCTGAAGAGGAAGAATGGTCAGCTGAAATGATTATGCGGATGTATATAAAAATGATGAATGATTGTGGCCAACTGATGACGATGATCATTAGAATGATGTTAAGGATTACGATATGATGCTTAACATAATACATATGAAGATGGTTGTCATTAAACATTTTGATATGGCTATGGCAATTGTAGTTTTGTTTGCTGACCGTTTGATGATGTTATTATGAAAACAAAACTGATTTTAATATAGCATTAGTTATAATAAGTAAGTTGATAAAAAAATAGTGTTAACTTAGAAATTATGATTATAAGATTTTTTTTGTTTTTACAAAACTAAGAATGAAAAAATAAATTAAATTTCACTGTATTCACTGACAATGACATGAATAAATATTCAACGATGAAGTCATTGGACAAATGACAACAGAAAATAAAGAAGAAATAAAAGAGCTCAAATGGGTTCCATTTTGAAATACAAGGGACAACATTATGAGTCTGTGAGATGGTTCCAGTTATTTGAATGAAGCACAAAATAAAAATGGTGAATTGGGAGTAACACGTGTAACAGGTGAAGGCGAAGAAGTTGCAGGTAGCTCACTTCATGGTGTCTTGACTTCTTTTCGTCTTCAGCTATCTTCATGTCTTTTGGAGTGTCAGTCTCTGATAATGTCTTCTTCTGTGAAGCTTTGGCGTCTTCTTTTAGAGTTTTGGATGCAGCTTTAGTCTTCTCCTGGCTTTGCGGCTGTTTGCGGGCCTGGTTATTACCTGTGGGTTTAGACTGAGCAGGAACTGTTTTTGAAGGGGTGGGGGTCTTAGTATGGTTAGGAGCAGGTTTACTAGGGCCAGATGAAGGCTTGGCACCAGAGGGATGAGAAGGGCCCTTAGGCAGAGCAGAGGGCTGAGCAGATCCTTTTGTCTGAGTCAGCCCTTTGGCCTGACTCGGGCCCTTCATTTGGTTAGCAGGCTGTGAGGAGGTCTTACTTTGAGCACTGGGTTGATTAGGACCTTTAGTTTGAGCAGGTCCTTTACCCTGAGATGAGGGATGTGTTTGACTCTTAGCTTGAAGGGGTGGCTGAGTCGAACCCTTGGTTTGAGGAGAGGTTTGGCTGAGCCCTTTATGTTGAGGGCCAGGCCCTGCTTGTTTCACATTACAGGGAGGGCCACTTACTTGAGGACCAGCTGATTTCTGTTGTCGTTGAGGACCTGTGGTGTTAGGCCCTAAAAGATGATTGGGTGATTTCTGCTGAGGTGTTTGCTGTTTGGCTGGAGCAGATGATCGGGAAGATCCCACTGAAGGTCCTCCAGGATCTGGAATATCTCCCAAGCTTCCTGACAGAGCCCTCTGTGTTTGGCAGTTTAGGCAGAGCCATTCTTTTTTCTGAAAAACAAGAACAGAGAGAATAGGGATAAGCAAAGTTAAGATGAAAGACCATGCTAGATTGCACAAATTATACAAAATATAGTCATTTTTATGTTTCCATTGATAGAACAATTGATGATTAGTAAAAGAACGTAGATGTGTCTGTTACTTAAAATAAATGCAGTTTTGCATTGTACCATTTGACTCCTCTGAACAACTGAGAAAATGAAAACCTGTCCAAACAAGGATTTTCATCACTTCAGAAAGACTTAAAATTTTGACTGCATTAAGTACTCTCACACAAAGTACACAGATAAGAAGTGTAGTGTGCATATAAATGAACACATTTTTTGAGAGGTGGAACAATCAACAGCAAATATCAAATGTCATCCCCGGGGTCATGACCCAAGAGCGCATTCCATATGGCCCACAACGTGGTTAATGATTAATAAATTACACTCAAATTGATACAGGAGTCATTTGTGAGAAAGGTTAACTTCAGCTGTGACTCAACAATCACAATGAAAAAAAAACTTGTTATTCAAATAAGAAAAACTAAATATTTTACTGAAATTGCTAATTAATGAAGTGTGAATTGAAACTCATCTGCCAATACATATTAAAAAATATTAAACTATTACATTTTTGGAATAATCTTAATAAAATGAATTAAACTCAATAAAAAATGTAGTCGGTTCCAAAATATTATGTTAATCTGTTTTAAATATTTAAAATTATGGCCACATATTTGCATCCAAAAAAAGCCGTGCAGCAAATTGTTAACGTTCATTCAAAATGCATTTTTATGTTGTTTTTGAGTGAGCATGGCAAATCTATTTATGACAGCAGAAATGTAAATAAAAAAACAAACCAGCCATGATAACAGAAATGTGGCTAATCAAAGACTGGCGTCTGCATAGAAAATCTCAGACCTTTGAAGAAAAGTGTTGATGATTCCTGATCTGCATCTTTTATAGAGCTCACAGCAAACCTTCTCGGTGTTTGAGAATAAAAATTGTTCCTCGCAGTCATGAGGTATGTGTTTGGCTGTAGGTGTAGATTCTTGCTCTAAAATCTACAACAAAACCTATCAAAGACCAGATATTAACATAAACAGATTCAATGTCAGGTCAATACAATAGATCAATGAAACTGCTTGCATTAATGAAATGACTCTATTACAGGTTGGGAAGGCTGGAAATAGCAGTGGGGGCACCGTGTTTGTAACAACCCAATGTTAATGACAATCATCTGAGCCTCAGACTTGAAGACAGAGTGTTCCTGTGTCATCAACGTGTACAACAAAACAAATAACCTCATTCACGGTTCAATTGTTGATCACTATCCGCTGAATAAATCATGTCTTTTATTGATGTCACATTTCACAAGCATTAACACAGAATCTACAAATGTTAAGTCAGGTCCTTATTGAGCATGCATCAGGATATTAATACAGAATATTTGTCAACAGGCCCAGTCTCAACCATCCATTATCTTTAACCGCATCTTTCTTTTCGGGTCACTGGTGCCCATATCCAGCAATCACTGTGCGAGAGGCACCCTGGACAGGTCACAAGTCCATCGAGACAAACAACCATTCACTCTCTCACTCACACCTAGGACAATTTAGAGTTACCAATCAGCCTAACATGCATGTTTTTGGTCTGTGGGAGGAAACTGGAGCACCTGGAGAAAACCCACACATGCATGGAGAGAGCATGCAAACTCCACCCAGAAAGGTCCCTGGCTGGGATTAGATTCGGCAACTTTCTCGCTGAGAGGCAACAGCTCTACCAACTGAGCCACCATGTAGTCACAACCCAGTGACAACCATATTTACAAAATCAGGTGTTTAGTGACTGTGTTACACCTCGTAGCTGCTACTTTCCTTCCGGCCATTGACTATGGTGACATTATTTACATGAGTTAGCACCCTGCAGATGTTGGACACTGTCTATCACGGTGCATTAAGATTCATAACTGGTTGTAACTACCGTACCCATCACTGCACTCTGTATTCACTGGTCAACTGGCCATCATTAACTTCACGCAGACTCTCACACGTCACGTCGTCAGTGCTGTTACAGTGTGCGCTCTCAAGACTTCATTACCTGCAGCGTCCTCTCGGCGTGGACTGAACTTGGCACAAAGGCTTTTTCCTACTCTGCTTCTGTAACCTGGAACACCTTGCAAAATGATCAGAAGCTCTCGACTTTGACCTCTCTAAGGGATTTTAAACAATTTTTTAAGTTCAACGCAAAAATCAGTGCAGGCATGTTCCTGCTTTTAGTATTTTACACATTTTATAATGTAGCTTGATTTTATTTTGTTTTATGTCACTATTTTTATTTACTTTTAATCTTATATGCATTTTATGGCTGTTATTATTATTTTGTATTGCAACAAGCAAAAACAATCCAAACTTTTAAAGGAGTTTCTCTACCAACATTTTAAGCAAGATAAAGAGACAGATAGTGGCAATCACTTAGGACTATTTGAACACCACAATAGGGGGAACTTAATCTAGACAATCCGTCTCTAATAATCAGTGTGAGACACAGAGTGTTTTCTTTATCACCTCATTCTAAACCTGCAAAGAGACGCTGACCTGATACAGACATTTAGCTTTTCTTTGGGCTTTTTCTGCACTTTGTTCAGTTTTCTGGCCACAACGATGAGTGGACGCAAAACATTATGGACAATGCTTATATGTCTATCTATTCAGTACAACTAATATGTGATTGCAAAATAATTCTACAAGAATTATGTGTTATTAATGTACCACATAAAGTAAAGATGAATATAAACTTCACAGACTAAAAAGAAGGGGGAAAATATTTTAAATATTAACTGATTAAATCAGAAAAGGGTAAACAAACAAAAAATAAAATGGCCATTTAAGATACATTTCCAATCTTACTGGTCTTTTTATGTTTATTAAATTAATATACTTTGTATAATATTTAACAAAAACTAAATTATTGAGGCAAATAAATTAAACACAAAAAAATATGATAATTTGCGTTTGGTTGGTTATTTCTTTGTTGTAACCATTCTTCTTGACAATACATCTTACACTGTTGGGAATCCCATTAATTTTCCCTAAAATGGTGCCTCATTTGTGAGGAAAATGTGACTGAGGGTTGAGTAGCAAAGTTAAGAATGTAAAATGTGTCTGATACAAACTTTCCACTACTTCACTGCCAATGCCAAACAGCAAAGATTTATTCCCCTTTTGTGCTATGTTTACATAATTAAGTGGCTGGATCGATTTTTTTGTTGTTGTCGCTCAAGGCCAAAAGCCACAGGTGGGTAATAATGTTTCAGCCCATGCGTGTGTGTCTGTTGGTTAGACAAATATCTCATGAACCACAGGACAAAATTTAATGATATGGAGAACATTGAATGTACTGTACATGCACTACTGATTTGAACTTTTGTAAACAAATCAATTCAAAATGGCCACCACAGCAAATCAACATTAGCCACATTTGCTATAAATTTTGTGGAATTATAGCCACAAAAAATGGCTATAACTCAATCCATTTGACTGATATTGAGGTAAAATTTAAGTGGTAGTAGCTGAGAGTCATTAACAACACACTTTGCCATATTACATTAGACTGAATTTAATGTAATTTTTAACAAAATACCAAAAACGGGTACAATTCAGTCGTTTCTCAACATAAGATGATTCTAGTTTGAAAAAAAAAAAACTGGTATAAAAGGAAATGGGCAAAATGCATTGCTTTAAGTTATCCTAGCCTTTAAATAGATGTATATATTTTTTTCTTTTTTAGCTTGTATGTATTTAAGACAAACTGTTGCTTGTTGCAAAGCAGACTCAATATTCAGACAAAAAAGTAAATAGAGGAGGTTTTCCAAAACAGGCTGTGACTGCTAATCAATTTAGTGGTAAAAAAAAAAAAAGTCAAAATGTGCTGTTCTGGTAAGAGTTAGAATTGATAGGGAATAATTACACTTACGAACAGTAAATAGGTTGTGATTGATAGAGTACAACAGAACACACTGGAGTGGCACTGATATGGCAAACATTGTACCTCATAAAAACTCAATCAGGGCTCTTATGCAATGTGGGTGATAAATTATGCAACTCCTTCCCTTTAGTAATGATGCCATTTGAATCAGCATGCTGTGAAAACATCAATTTCTTCAATGATAGCGATGTAGGCAGAAAAAAAAAATCCTTTTTAATGAAAGGATATAAAACAAACACTTTGTTAAGTTGAAAACCATGGTAAATATCTATTGCCCGCCACCAAAGGTAAAGGCAAACAATGTTTTTGGACATAAGACCAAGCACTGCCAGATCATGTGAGATCATGTGAGACATTGCAACAGATTGTGTATAATATTGTTTTCAAAGTTCAACCAAAATGACTATAACTCCATCATTTCTCAAAATTTTACGTTGAAACTCCAACATGAAAGGTGGTGGGCAAAATGCATTTCTTTAACAAATGCCACCTATTTTGGACCAAGTTGACGTTTCCAAATGCACAAACATGTCAAAACCAATCATGAAAATATGCGGTGAGGTCAGACATTCAAATCTATAGCATGCTCTTTTTTTACTGCTGCTATTCTTTTATAGAGAATTTAAAAAAATAGTATTTTTGTGCCCAAATCTATCGTCTCAAGTGAGAGCATGAAGCTAGAATGGATCCACTGGTTTGCCAAGCAGACAGACTTGCTTTGTTTTCATATCTCTCAAGTGCTCTACTGAGAAGCTATATATAAACAGGTGCAGCACTCTCAAACTAACCATCTGTGCTTGTTCTTTTCATGACAAACGGTCGTGTGTTTGTGGACATCTAGCACATTCATGGGAGCAGCAGATATTTACAGAAGCTATGCAACAATATAGACAAAAAGGCAGGCTATGTGGCTCTAATTTGTGCATTCAAAAATGTTTAGTGGGCAGCACGGTGGTGCAGTTAGAGCTGTCACCTCACAGCAAGAAGGTCGCAGGTTCGCCTTCCAGCCTTTCTGGGTAG